CAGAGGCCCAACAGCAGCGGGCACCCAGCCACACCGTTCACCGGGTCGACCGATGAAAACGAACCGGGAACAGAAAGCGTCGGAGGACGCCGAACAAAAACCCGCTACATCAGCCGCCAGACAGATCGAGGAGGGGAGCTTCTCCGAATCCGACGACGCATCCACGACCCGAGCCATGGGGGTCAGGTGGATTTCCTACCGGCGGAAGGACGAACTCCAAGCTATCCTCAAGGAGTTCGGTTTGAACACCCAGGGCCAGGTGGACGAACTGCGACCCAGGCTTGCATCGTTCATCGGAGGGTCCAACCACAGTCCGGCGCTCCGGGAACGCTTTGCCGCATTGGAGGCCATCTACCCAGAGGCTCCCACATCAAAGGTAGTGACCAACCGGTCCACCTCACCGATGCCCGGCGCAGGGGACACCCTTCTCTCCGTGCCACCCCCAGAACACCGTCACACGAGCCCAGGACGTGGAGTCCAAGGCTCCCACCCCGCTGCCCAATCGCCATCCCAGCACATGTCCGCAGCCGCATTCGCCGAGAAGCTTCGGGGATGGGGCGTCCATTTCGATGGACAAGCCGACCCCCTGCACTTCATGGAACGAGTCGAGGAAGGCGCTACGTCATACAGCGTACGGAATAGCGACATCCCACGAGCCATCGCCGGATTACTGTCGGGCCGTGCCGAAGGCTGGTACCGAGCCTACCAGATGCACGCCGAGCCCTGGGAAACTTTCAAGCGGGAGTTCTTGGAATTTTTTCTACCTCCACGGTACTACCAGCGCCTGGAGGATGCGATCAGGACCCGACACCAACAAGGCGGCGAGCCTTTCAAGTTCTATGTGGTAGAACTACGCCTGATGATGCAGCGGGCAAATTACTCGTTCGAACAGGAGCTCGAAAGGATTTACGAGAATCTGCTACCGGAGTATCACCTCTTCATAAGGCGTCACGAATTCTCCTCGCTGGAAGGGTTGACACAACTAGCCACCGCTTTCGAAATTGCTCGGGACCGAGACCCAGTCCGACAAGCAGCACTAGTTCCACCCGCCAGTGGACACTACACTACGAGGAGCAGCCCTCCGCCCGGCCCTCGCCGACGAGAGCCCATACGACCAGCGGCGACGCCTTTCGGCACATCGAATCTAGCGATTACAAACCGGATGATTTCCCAGGATGCCGAAGCACCTGTCGACGTGACCCGAGCCTGTAGTCGCTGCGCTGAGGTGGGACACTTCGTTCGGGAATGCCAGAATCCGCCAGTCCTATACTGCTGGGACTGCGGGAAACGTGGTACTCGCACCATTGACTGCTGCCGGCAGTCGGGAAACAACCAGGGTCCTCGCACACACAGGGAGCAGGCGGCGACCCACTCAGCGCTCCCCCATCATTAAATCCACCGCTCCGCTTGACGGGAGGCCGGATCATCGCCACGGTTACCATCGAGGGGCAACTCTTCGCGGCAACCATCGACACGGGGGCCTCCAGAAGCTTTGTCAGCGAAGCGCTGGGCAACCGGCTCGATTCGGATCGAAACATCAAAGAGGTTCGCACCCAAATATCCCTGGCGGACGGATCCCCGAAGGAAGTCACCAAGGCCCTGCACGCACAAGTGCGCCTGGACCAACAACATGTCCGCATGACCCTCCTGGTCCTGCCAACGATCTTGGACGAGGTGATCCTCGGGATCGACTTTCTCTGGGGCATCCGGGCAACCATAATCAGCGGCCAGGTGTGCCTCCAACTAGCTCCGCCCACCACACGAAGAGCCGAACCAGGCCCAGCCACCCGAGCGGCGCCAACAGCGGCGGTCGCCCACCTTTCGGACCCACCGACTCCTACCCGGCGGACAACAAGGACCAACAAGGAGGCCACAACGGGTCCCATACCCGCCCCAAGACAGCGCATCACCGCGGGACGGAACCCAGCTCCAGTTCCATCGGAACGCTCGCCACCACCGGTTCCTCCCGCCACTACCACGGGAATCACGAAGGCCGATGTCACCGTCAAGGAAGGCAGGTACAGCCTCCAGCCACTACCGGATGCCGCCGTGGCCAAGAAAAGGAGCCCTTTTCGGAGGTATCTCGCGGGTCAGGACCGTTTAGCCAGTACAACAACAGGAACGTCCCCCGACGACCGGATACGCCACGTTCTTCCCCGGGAAGCCCGATAAGAATCGGGAAATACCAGCTACTCGCCCAGCCGGATACAAAGGACGCTCAGAGGCGCAATCCGTTCCGGAGGCATTGCCCTCACGGACACCTGGCCACAGTCGCGGAATCCCCGCCGGGATCGCTAGTGTCTGAGGAACCTCTCGACGCAGTAACCCTCCGGTTCCTTCAAGAGGAGCTTAGGTATTTCGACCAGCTGCAAGAAACGACGGATATAGCCGAGCACACCATCACCCTTCGGGGAGATAAACCGCTGAAACAGCGGTATTATCCCAAGAACCCGGCCATGCAGCGTATTATCAACGAGCAGGTGGACGAACTGCTGCAGGATGGACGAATCGAACCCTCTCGAAGTCCGCACAGCGCACCGCTGGTGCTAGTCCGAAAGAAGACGGGGGACATGCGGATGTGCGTTGACTATCGTCAACTCAACGCACACTCCATACCCGACGCGTACCCGCTTCCACGCATCAACCATATCCTGGAACGCCTACGGAATGCCCGGTTCATCTCCACGTTGGACCTTAAAAACGGGTATTGGCAGATTCCCATGGCAGAAGGCAGTCGAGAATGCACCGCATTCACTGTCCCCGGACGTGGACTCTTCCACTGGAAGGTCATGCCGTTCGGGCTCCACTCCGCCCCAGCGACTTTCCAACGAGCTCTGGACAGCGTCATCGACCCCGATATGGAACCCCACGCCTTCGCCTATTTAGACGACATCATCGTCATCGGGGCAACGTGGGAGGACCATGCGCGCAATCTGAGGGAAGTCTTCCGGCGCCTTCGAGAAGCGAATCTACGCTTAAATCGGGGTAAGTGCAAGTTCTTCCAAAGAAAACTAGTGTATTTGGGTCACCTGATCAGCGGGGAAGGCATCAGGACAGACCCCGACAAAATAGCGGCCATCCAGGGGCTACATCCCCCGACTAATGTCAAGGAACTTCGCCGCCAACTCGGAATCGCATCCTGGTACAGACGTTTTGTCCCAGACTTTGCTTCGCTCGTACAACCAATGTCACGACTCCTGAGGAAGGGAGTAAAGTGGACCTGGGAAGAACCCCAACAGCAGGCGTTTGATTCGCTTAAGGCTCGACTGACGTCCGCTCCTGTATTGGCCTGCCCAAACTTCGAGTATAAGTTCCAACTTCAGACGGACGCCAGCGACAAAGGACTCGGCGCGGTCCTCACCCAGAATATTGAGGGCGACGAACGGGTAATCGCCTACGTGAGCCGTCGACTCGAGCGGGCGGAGGAAAATTACTCGGCCACTGAAAAGGAGTGCCTCGCCATTGTGTGGGCCACCCGAAAGCTACGTTGCTACCTGGAGGGTTACAAGTTCGACGTTATCACGGATCACCTGGCCCTTAAATGGTTGAACTCCATTAACAACCCCACGGGACGTATAGCACGGTGGGCACTGGAGCTCCAGCAGTACCAGTTCGACATACTCTACCGGAAGGGCAAATACAACGTGATCGCCGACGCCCTCTCCCGGCAACCACTTGGAAGACTCCAGTTACTCGCAGAACTTAAGTGCCACTGCAAATGGGTACGAAAGATGCAGGAGCAGGTCCAAAGACACCCCGAGAAGTTTCCGGATTACTCCCTGGATAATGGACAGCTCTATAAACGCTTAGGGCATCCCGTAGGCATCAGAGTAGGCAACCCCTGGAAGTTGTGCGTGCCGCGAGAACGTCAACGCGTGCTGGGAGAATGCCACGACCACCCCGCCGCCGGACACCTAGGCATCCGGAAGACGCTCAGGAGGATCGCCCAGCGTTACTTCTGGCCTGGACTTCATCGGGACGTGGTACGCTACGTTACGCCAACAGTACAAGGTTAGTCAGTATAAACCAGCCGGCAAGATGCTCACTCACCAACCTACAGAGCCGTTCGCGCTCGTCGGAGCCGACTTCGTTGGACCCCTTCCCCGGACCCGGCGAGGAAACACCATGCTCTTGGTTTTCATAGATGTATTCTCCAAGTGGGTAGAGCTCATCCCATTGAGGAAAGCCACCTCCGCCCAACTGGAGTTCGGATTCCGAGAAAGGATCCTCTCTCGCTTTGGAGCCCCCAGAAGGTTGATTTGCGACAATGGCACGCAGTTCACCAGCCGAAGCTTCCGGGTGTTCTGCAGGAACAACGGCATTCAACTGGAATACACCGCGCCGTACTCTCCCCAGCAAAATCCGACGGAACGCGCCAACCGCACTATCAAGACCATGATAGCACAATATGTGAACCAGGATCACCGGTCGTGGGACCAGCTACTGCCCGAGATCTCCCACGCCATAAACACTAGCATCTCAGATAGCACGGGGTTTAGCCCGGCTTACCTAGTACAGGGTCGGGAGCCTAGGTTGCCAGGTGCCCTCTTCGATGCGGTCGCACCCGACTTACAGGCCTCGCCATTGGATCCAACGGAACGAGCCAGAAGGCTTCAAGAAGCGTTCCGCACCACCCTAGAAACCAACCAGATAGCTTCTCAGGAACAAAGTCGACACTACAACCTGAGGCGACGTGAGTGGCGACCCCAACTAGGCTCACAGGTGCTAGTCCGCCTTCACCATCTGTCCAAAGCCAGCGAGGGCTTTAACGCAAAACTTGCGCCGAAGTACGCTGGCCCGTTTAAGGTGGTGAAATTTCTATCATCAAACGTCGTGCGGCTACAACAGATAGACGGCCGGAAAAGGCGTACATCTGGCATAGGCGATCTAAAAGAGTATCATCAGCGAGAAGGACAACTAGACGACTCTTCAGAAAGCCCCAGAAGGAGCGATTCGCACCACGCACCTGATGACGTGCCCGTTACACCACTGCAAGGGTAAGCATAAGTGGCGTACTCGCCAGCAAGTTATTTTAAGCGGGAAAATTGTATCGAATAGGCTAATTAAAGACAGTTGATCTTCGCACTCAGGTTAGGCAAGTTAGAAAAACGTAGTACTAGGCTAACTATTTGGACACCTTTCAGAAAAAAGACAACAGCGTGCAACAAATGGATCCCTATCATGTGGAGGGAGAGTACAGACCCGTCGACCACCGAGGAGGATCTACGGCCAGCAATAGCGGAGAGTCCCAAGGCGGCGACTCGGTGTTATCCACCCACAGCCCGACTCCACCCCCGTTCAGCCCATGGCAAGGAATGAGATCGCCCGAAGGACCCGCTAGTCTTAATCCACCGGACAACGCCGACTCCGTGTCGACCGAGGTTCGGTCTCCAGACGTCAGCATGGTCGTCAGCGGAGACGTGCCGGAAGTATTTGAGCCCCTACCCGGAGACGACGAGGAGGAGGAGCCAACCACCCCCACGATTGCACGCCTGGCCCGGCTACAGGTGGACGACGAGGACGAGCCCGGGGCATCGACCACCCACATCCTGGTGGGCGCATGGCTGCAAGGTCAGGACCATCACGCCTTCGCTCCTGGACACCTGCAACGATGCCTCTGGGAGGCCCACCGGAGTTCCCCAGCGAGCCCAACGTCCACCGACGACTCGGACGTCGGAGTCGACGGGCGATTTTGGAGGGACCGCCCGCAAGCCCAGGTCGAGCGCGCCATAGCCGAGGCGAACCGGGCCTGGGACGGCTACGCTGGCGACGTCGCACCAGCTCCGGAGGGATCCGAGCCTGAGAGTGGCCTCTGCTCCAGCCAGGGGGACAGCGACGACGAGGGAGAGGATGTGCTGTACATCCACGCAAGGGAGGTCGGCCCCGACTTGGCCGTACCCGAGGAGCACGTTCCCGCTATAGCCGAGAACCCGCAGGACCAAACTCCACCCGGAACTCTAGCACGCTCCAACCCCCCGTCCACACCGAGACGCTGCCAAACGGAGTCCCCGCGGACCCCCACCAACGCGGTACGTCCGCGCCTGGAGCTGTCGTCGCCCGCGCTGTCACCCGGCCTCGTACCCTCTCAGCGGGAAGCACCACCCACACCCGGCCGATCCATCCCCCATTCGGTCATGGACCTGTTCCTAAGACCCTCGACGCAGGCGCCGTCCCAAAGCGGAGACGAGGAGCTGGACCTGCAGCTGTTCCTCACCGGCGGAGAGCAACATGAGGTGCTTCAGGCTCTCCAGGAGGACCCAGCAGAGGACCCAGTCAGGGGTGACGCCCACTGGATCGAGGCCCCAGCGGACTGGAGGGTAGACACTCCGGATCACCGTCTGCCCCCCATCCTCGTCGCGTCCATTCAGGCCCAGGATCGCCGACGCGTTCGGTATCTACGCCACTTCGACGGGGCCAAATTCCGAGGCAGCGTGACCGCACGAGGCGAAGTCTCCGTGACCCTCCGCCCGTCTCAATAACCACACCGAAGTAAAGGGGGGGTGTGAGGACGCTTAAAGGCGCCTCTCAAAACTTATATAATCTCAGCCCTTGGAGGCCAAAACTTATATAATCTCAGCCCTTGGAGGCCAAAAAACTTATATAATCTCAGCCATTGGAGGCCAAAAACTTAAGTCACAGCCACTGAAGGACTGACTAGTTATTAAGTCTCTAAAATATATATATTTAAGTCTAAAAACCTAAGTAATCCTAGTTTTCAAATAAGCGCGCGCGAGGGCACCAGTATTGATCAGCAGGATCAGTCCGCTGGCCAGTCGGGGCGAATGGCCAACAGTATCGATGAGTTATCGCAAATCACCCGTGAATAAGCGCGCGGGCTGTTAAGCGCAAAGCGTGCGACCAAGCTTAGTGCTGTTAATAATAAAACGCGGGCTGTTAAGCGACAAGCTTAGTGCTGTTAATAATAAAACGCGTGCTGTAAAGGGAAAAAGCGTGTCGACGTGGAACCGCGATCGACGGAGATTGGCCTCATTCTTTTCCGGCAGCCAAGCAGCTCAGACCACAAGGACCACACCAGCAGCAGAGACTCCCGCGGACGGCAACGCCATATCAAAGGCATAGAGTAAGACAAAAGGCAGAGGTTAGAAACCCAGATACTGAGTGCGAAGGTTAGGGAGAAAGACCAAGTGAATAAAATAAACATAAAGTTGTGAAACTCAAACCCCAAGCCTGGCTACTAAAATTTAGTGAACTTCGCTGAGTGTTTTTCCGGGTCGGCTAGGTTACCGTATTGCGTTTCCGAGGTTTATTATCTCTTCGCAACGCGGATACCAAAGCTACCCACGTGCTACTCCAGGTCGGGCAAGTTCTCGTATTGCGTTTCAGAGGTTTATTTTCTCTGCGCAATACGAACGTTTACCAGACTAGAGAAAAAACGCGGGAAACTATCGCCGGCCTTTTCTGCACACGCTCAGGTTAGGGAGAGGCTAATAAGATTTAGTGCATCTCGCGGAGGGGCTTTCGGGTCAGTGAGGCTTCTGAGTTGCGTTTTCTGAGGTTTATTTTCTCCGCGCAACGCGGACGCCAAAGCTGCCCGCGGGCCTATTCACGTCGGACAAGTTACCGTATTGCGCTTCCGAGGCTTTCTCTGTGCAATACGGACGCTTGCCGGACCGGAAAAGCTATCGCCGATCGCCCACGCTCAGGCCCAGTCGAACATCCCTCTCGAGTTAATTTGTGACGGCCCTGTTTTTCGTGTTGCGTTTCCGAGGTTCTTTTCTCTACGCAACACGGACGACGAGGCTGTACGCGTGCTCCTTCGCGTCGGACAAGTCCCCGTATTGCGCTTCCGAGGTTTTCTCTGTGCAATACGGACGCTTGCCGGACCGGAACAGCTAACCCCGGGTGCTGATTGGTGTCGGCCAGTTGACATTACGCCTCCGAGCGATCTACGCCACGTAGAGGTGGAGACCCAGAGCAGGTGATCCCGTAAACAAAATCCCGGCGGCAACTCCCAGTCCCGTTTCGTCTCCTGTGTTTCTACAAATTTAACTGTAGAGGACTCTGGCCGGACTGAAGTCTATCCCAGCCTAAGAAAAGTCCTTACAGTTTGGCGCCCGAACAGGGACGACTCAGGGACGACCTAGGTATCCTGTAGGAGTTGGGTTTTCAGTATCAACCGCATGGCTTAAAGACCCATGCCCAGCCGTGGGAAATTTTTTTGATTAGGAACACCCAAGTTTTAAAAAAGCCTAGTTAGAGAGCAAATAGGGGAATCTGTACTGCCACTTACGACAACGCCGATCTACTCCGCAACTGCGCCGCTTACTATGAGCACCCCGAGCGCCTACCCAGCCCGCTCACATCAGGAGCACTCTGGAGTCCATCCGCGCCGTCGCCTGAGCGCCGCCTGCTGAGGGCCCTCCAGCATCCCAGTGGGCCACCTGCGCCGCTTACCGAGAGCACTCCCAGAGGCCGCTCACATCAGGAACGAGTCCAAAGCTCAGCAGAGCCACACCACGAGCAGCCCAGCGATCAGCCGCGCTCGCCTTCGGGAACGACCCTAGAGACCGCTTCGTCGCCCGGCTTGCGCCCCCCAGCAGCGCCACCTACCGTGCCGACTACAGCACGCACCGCGACGAGGAAAACAGTCGCCACGCTCACCGTGGACCCCGGATCACTCGCCGCCAGGAGAGTCGCTCCTGCGCCACCACCATTCGCTAGTCGGGAGACCCAGCCACTCCCACATCAGCATCCGCGTGACGCCCACTCAGAGGCCCAACAGCAGCGGGCACCCAGCCACACCGTTCACCGGGTCGACCGATGAAAACGAACCGGGAACAGAAAGCGTCGGAGGACGCCGAACAAAAACCCGCTACATCAGCCGCCAGACAGATCGAGGAGGGGAGCTTCTCCGAATCCGACGACGCATCCACGACCCGAGCCATGGGGGTCAGGTGGATTTCCTACCGGCGGAAGGACGAACTCCAAGCTATCCTCAAGGAGTTCGGTTTGAACACCCAGGGCCAGGTGGACGAACTGCGACCCAGGCTTGCATCGTTCATCGGAGGGTCCAACCACAGTCCGGCGCTCCGGGAACGCTTTGCCGCATTGGAGGCCATCTACCCAGAGGCTCCCACATCAAAGGTAGTGACCAACCGGTCCACCTCACCGATGCCCGGCGCAGGGGACACCCTTCTCTCCGTGCCACCCCCAGAACACCGTCACACGAGCCCAGGACGTGGAGTCCAAGGCTCCCACCCCGCTGCCCAATCGCCATCCCAGCACATGTCCGCAGCCGCATTCGCCGAGAAGCTTCGGGGATGGGGCGTCCATTTCGATGGACAAGCCGACCCCCTGCACTTCATGGAACGAGTCGAGGAAGGCGCTACGTCATACAGCGTACGGAACAGCGACATCCCACGAGCCATCGCCGGATTACTGTCGGGCCGCGCCGAAGGCTGGTACCGAGCCTACCAGATGCACGCCGTGCCCTGGGAAACTTTCAAGCGGGAGTTCTTGGAATTTTTTCTACCTCCACGGTACTACCAGCGCCTGGAGGATGCGATCAGGACCCGACACCAACAAGGCGGCGAGCCTTTCAAGTTCTATGTGGTAGAACTACGCCTGATGATGCAGCGGGCAAATTACTCGTTCGAACAGGAGCTCGAAAGGATTTACGAGAATCTGCTACCGGAGTATCACCTCTTCATAAGGCGTCACGAATTCTCCTCGCTGGAAGGGTTGACACAACTAGCCACCGCTTTCGAAATTGCTCGGGACCGAGACCCAGTCCGACAAGCAGCACTAGTTCCACCCGCCAGTGGAAACTACACTACGAGGAGCAGCCCTCCGCCCGGCCCTCGCCGACGAGAGCCCATACGACCAGCGGCGACGCCTTTCGGCACATCGAATCCAGCGATTACAAACCGGATGATTTCCCAGGAGGCCGAAGCACCTGTCGACGTGACCCGAGCCTGTAGTCGCTGCGCTGAGGTGGGACACTTCGTTCGGGAATGCCAGAATCCGCCAGTCCTATACTGCTGGGACTGCGGGAAACGTGGTACTCGCACCATTGACTGCTGCCGGCAGTCGGGAAACAACCGGGGTCCTCGCACACACAGGGAGCAGGCGGCGACCCACTCAGCGCTCCCCCATCATTAAATCCACCGCTCCGCTTGACGGGAGGCCGGATCGTCGCCACGGTTACCATCGAGGGGCAACTCTTCGCGGCAACCATCGACACGGGGGCCTCCAGAAGCTTTGTCAGCGAAGCGCTGGCCAACCGGCTCGATTCGGGTCGAAACATCAAAGAGGTTCGCACCCAAATATCCCTGGCGGACGGATCCCCGAAGGAAGTCACCAAGGCCCTGCACGCACAAGTGCGCCTGGACCAACAACATGTCCGCATGACCCTCCTGGTCCTGCCAACGATCTTGGACGAGGTGATCCTCGGGATCGACTTTCTCTGTGGCATCCGGGCAACCCTAATCTGCGGCCAGGTGTGCCTCCAACTAGCTCCGCCCACCACACGAAGAGCCGAACCAGGCCCAGCCACCCGAGCGGCGCCAACAGCGGCGGTCGCCCACCTTTCGGACCCACCGACTCCTACCCGGCGGACAACAAGGACCAACAAGGAGGCCACAACGGGTCCCATACCCGCCCCAAGACAGCGCATCACCGCGGGACGGAACCCAGCTCCAGTTCCATCGGAACGCTCGCCACCACCGGTTCCTCCCGCCACTACCACGGGAATCACGAAGGCCGATGTCACCGTCAAGGAAGGCAGGTACAGCCTCCAGCCACTACCGGATGCCGCCGTGGCCAAGAAAAGGAGCCCTTTTCGGAGGTATCTCGCGGGTCAGGACCGTTTAGCCAGTACAACAACAGGAACGTCCCCCGACGACCCGGATACGCCACGTTCTTCCCCGGGAAGCCCGATAAGAATCGGGAAGTACCAGCTACTCGCCCAGCCGGATACAAAGGACGCTCAGAGGCGCAATCCGTTCCGGAGGCATTGCCCTCACGGACACCTGGCCACAGTCGCGGAATCCCCGCCGGGATCGCTAGTGTCTGAGGAACCTCTCGACGCAGTAACCCTCCGGTTCCTTCAAGAGGAGCTTAGGTATTTCGACCAGCTGCAAGGAACGACGGATATAGCCGAGCACACCATCACCCTTCGGGGAGATAAACCGCTGAAACAGCGGTATTATCCCAAGAACCCGGCCATGCAGCGTATCATCAACGAGCAGGTGGACGAACTGCTGCAGGATGGACGAATCGAACCCTCTCGAAGTCCGCACAGCGCACCGCTGGTGCTAGTCCGAAAGAAGACGGGGGACATGCGGATGTGCGTTGACTATCGTCAACTCAACGCACACTCCATACCCGACGCGTACCCGCTTCCACGCATCAACCATATCCTGGAACGCCTACGGAATGCCCGGTTCATCTCCACGTTGGACCTTAAAAACGGGTATTGGCAGATTCCCATGGCAGAAGGCAGTCGAGAATGCACCGCATTCACTGTCCCCGGACGTGGACTCTTCCACTGGAAGGTCATGCCGTTTGGGCTCCACTCCGCCCCAGCGACTTTCCAACGAGCTCTGGACAGCGTCATCGGCCCCGATATGGAACCCCACGCCTTCGCCTATTTAGACGACATCATCGTCATCGGGGCAACGTGGGAGGACCATGCGCGCAATCTGAGGGAAGTCTTCCGGCGCCTTCGAGAAGCGAATCTACGCTTAAATCGGGGTAAGTGCAAGTTCTTCCAAAGAAAACTAGTGTATTTGGGTCACCTGATCAGCGGGGAAGGCATCAGGACAGACCCCGACAAAATAGCGGCCATCCAGGGGCTACATCCCC